GAAAACTTTCGCAACATCCAAAACCGGGATCAGATTGTAGTTCATGACGCTACTCCCATGCATTATAAATAAGTTTAGAAAATAAAGTTCTAGGACTCGGCTTCAATAGCTAGTGCAATCCACCTTGTTGTTAATCTCAGCCATTTTCATGTTGAAGTCTATAGCACCACTTGCTTGACCTTGGAGGATTTGATGGAGCAGGTTATGTACTTCTTGATCCTTGTTCCCTGAGTTCTGTTGGAGGCTTTGCTGTTGGGGAGGGACAAAACCATTCTGGTTATTGATGTGAGAGTGAAAGTTCTGGGTGGGGGGATTCTTGTAGTAGGTTAAGCCTTTTTGGTAACCTTGTTGTCCACCTACAAAGTTTACCTCAGCTGTGATGTCTTCCCCTTGAAATGTGTCTTGAAACACATGATTCACATCAAGTTGACTGACTTATGAGAAGCTAGGAGAAGTTTATCTAGCTTCTCATTGAGAGACCAGATGTCTTTCCTTGTCCTTTCCTCTTCAGCACACACAGCACCTCTTGATTACCTGTCAAAGTCTGATCCATAAAGCTCATCACTCTGAGCTACATTCTCCACAAGGGTCATGGCATCATTGACTTCCTTGTTCATGAAATTACCATTTGAAACAGTGTCCAAGAGGAGTCTGACCTTTGGTAAAGCACCTCTGTAGAAGGTACTTAACAGCTGAGAATCTGAGAATCCATGGTGAGGGCATTTTATGGTATACCCTCTAAATCTTTCCCAAGCCTCACAAAAGGATTCATGGTTCTTCTGAATGAAACTTGAGATTTCATTTCTTAACCTTGCTGTTCTTGATGAAGAGAAGAACTTGGTTAGAAATGCTCTTTTGCATTGCTCCCATGTTTTGACTGATCCTTGAGGTAGAGACTTTTCTCATTGATGAGCTTTGTCTCCTAGAGAAAAAAGAAATAGCCTCAACTTGAAACTGTCTTCACTCATTCCATTCATCTTAGTTAGATCACAAACTCTATCAAAGTTGTCAATGTGATCTAATGGGTCTTCTAATGCCAAGCCATGGAACTTGTTTGATTGCACCATGTTGATCAAGCTAGATTTGATCTCAAAATCGTTTTCAGGTGTTGGAGCTTGAATCCCATGTCTTTGATCCTGAGCATTGGCCTCATCACCAGCTCCCACACCTGTTCTTGGACGTGGTGCTGGACCCTCTTGCTGAGCCTGGTGATTTCCATTACCACCATGAGCTTTTTGCCCTTGATCCATACCCAATCTTTCAATGTGCTCAGCTCTTTCTCTTTGTCTTCTTGTTTGACTTCTTGTGTTCATACACCTGAAAACAAAGACAGCACTTGAAAGGTAATCAATAAAACAAAATAAAATGACTTGATCTCAAGAAGATCCAAAGTCTTAATGCTAGAATGAATCTCCAATCGGTAACGGCGCCAAATTGATAGTGGGCTTTTTAGCCCACTAAAGTCAATTAACCTCTTGTGTTGTAGCACTTGAGGGTCAATCCAAATGGAGAGATTCTAGACACCAGAACTATGAGTAGCTATCTTAATTCAAGTCTAATAAGCAGATGATTTGGTGATTAAGTGATCTAAAAACATAAAACAAACAAGAAACAAGAAATACTTAAGAACTAAACAAGCAAGACAACAAAGAAAATACTCAAATTCAAATAAAGATAAAGCTAAACCTCTAGATGTGATCATTGATTAGGGTGCTTTAAATGTGAATTCATGATGCTAAGCAAACAATGCAACACTTGCAATTCCTTAGTCTAGACTTCCAAATCAGATTAATTCATTCTCATGACAAAAATCTCTTTGTCAATTACTTAATAAAGACTAATTACCATTAGTGAGTAAGCAATCAACAAGCATAAGGTTCCAAGTCTAAAATGACCAGACAGCCTCTTTGTGCATCAAAATAAGAGCTAAGATAGACTGAATCTTACACAGAAAGATATAGCAAGCAATCACATGATCTCAATTCCAATTAACTTAGAACTCTAAACTAGACCAATCCTCTCATGAAGGCATTAATCTCTATACTAATCCACTTTCAAACCAAAGTCCCATTTGTGAAATATGAATTAATAAGCATTAAGAGACAGTTCTAATATGTCATTTATGCATCAAACAAACATTCTCATGTGGTTCAATTAACATAAACCCTTAGCTTAGCTCATTCAGGCATTTCATCAAACATCTTGTGGGTGGAGAAATGCCTAAGTTTTAGATCAAGCTTATAATGAGAGATCTAGCATTAAGAGCAGCTAACTAAGGAAAGGAAATGAGAACCTAGAACCTAAATATCACAAATCAAACATTTAAGCACCCTAACCTACACACCTAGAAGCTTAAAAGAAGACTACTCACTAATCATGCTTAACACATCTAATCTTTTGCAAGAGATGAAGTTAAACATGATTAGGAGCAAAGATAAGAAGATGAAATGATAAGAAACATCTTTAGATTGATTCAATCCTCTAGATATCTCTTAACAAAAACGTTTTTACACTCAAAAGGAAAGAAAACAAGGGAGAAACTAAGATAGAAGATCCAGTTCCTAGAGTTTTTCTCTAAAAACATATATATACTAAGTCCTAATGGGCCGGGTCAGCCCAGGACAAACTGGGTCCTGACCCAACTTTGATGGATAGTGGTGTGGTTTGCCACGGTCAGATAATGCTTGGCCAGACCATGGCAAACTGACAGTGTCAAAGTTCTTGGACAGATTCTTCATGATCAAGGTTGCCATGGCTTGAATTAAACCATGTCTATTGGCCATGTCTCTTCTTTTCTGAGTTAGGGTGATGAACTTATTGGATTGCCACAGTCTTTTGTCATCCCGTGTCAAGGCGTGGACATTCGGTGATTTCCATGGTCTGATGTTTGGCAGTGGCATTATGGGTGTGTCAAAGATCTTTATTGCTTGTCGTGGTCAGGTTCAAGGCCGTTCCTCAAGACCATGTCAAATCCCGAAGGTTGGCTTCATAAGTAGTATCTTGCCACGGTCTGGTGTAGACCGTGACATTCTCACCGTGTCAATCACCGAAGATTAGCAGAACATTGCCATGGTCAAGTTAGACTGTGGCATTAAGGCCGTGTCATGCTCCTTTGACTCTTTACCAAGCTTCAGATGTTGCCACGGTCTAATGCATGGCCGTGGCATAGCCGTGGCATGGTAACCGTGTCAAATCCCGAGAGTTGTCATATTATGCCACGGCCAAACCCACACCGTGTCAAACCATGACACTTAGCACTTTATCCACTCTTAGATGTCTGGCTGATATGTCTGTCTCTCGCCTTCCAGAACTCACAGCTTACAAATCCAAATGCTACCAAACCAATTCCACATGAAATGTGACTCATTAAGCTTCAACTTTGATGAAGATCTCAATTTCATCCGGAGAGTTCAATGGTTCCCAGAGGACTAATCTCTGAGGTTCATTGCACGGGTCTAAATCTGCTTTTAGACATGTCTTCCTTCCGGTTGCAATATCTCTTAGCTCACGACTCCAAATCTTATGATTCTAAGCGGTATGGAAACTAGACTCATTTTTCTCCAACTTTTATGAAGACCCTGTAAACCATATCGGAGGAGAAGGCTTCCCGGTAACGACGATTTTGAGGTGTATTGAATTTCTCCGGAATGAGTGCGAGACATGTTTGTTTTCCGGTGTCCATATCTTTCGTCTCAGTGCTCCAAATTCATCGATTCCAACTGTTCTGGAATCTAGACTCAATTATCTTGATCTTTTCAGAAGACACCGGAAGCTAAATCGGTCGGAAAGATATTTCGGTAACGCGATTTCTGAGATGTATCTGCACCTGAGAGTTTTGGCCGAGAAGCGAAAGCGACCAGTACGTGTTTTTGGCCGAGAATCCTACCCACGGTATTGATTTTAGCCGAGAATCTCCGACCATCAGTACAGTCTTTTGCTGAGAAGCTCCATAATGCCCACTTTCACCATTTTTGATCATTTCAAGTCCATTTCTTCATCTGGTTCACATTCTCCACTCCAAATAGGCTCCATAAGCACCTGTTTAACACTCCAAACCATGCAAAACTCTCTTGGACCTAATTCAATCTCCAAAGTCCTAAAACAATGTCTAAAGACCTAAAATGTATGCAAATGAGACATGATTTGGACTTAAATATGTACACTAAATGATGCAATTTATGAATATATCAAATCCTCATCGAACATATTATAACCTCCATCGAAAATCTCTTAAACCCAACAATAAACTACTCAGACATGATGAACGAAAGCAAAATAATGGTATTAAAAAGTAGAGCAGAAATCAAAAATAAGAGAGAAACCAAAAGGGTTCAAGAGATAGATCTCTCTCCCTAAACCTAAAACAAGAGCTTAAAATTGTATCTTTTCTAAAGTATTTTGTCTCTCTCTTCTCTCCCTTCAAAATGACTTAAATGATAATAAGTATTTATAGTTTCCAATGCTCCATGATCTCTAGGGTTCTGGAATTGAGGCTGAGAAAATGACTTGGACTTCAGAAATGGGTCTTCTAAATCAGAGATGGCTGGCCGCGGGTGGAAAGGACGTGGCCACGGTGAATGGATGCTTGGCCACGGTTGTATAGCCTCTGGCAGTGGTGAAAAGGCTGTTGGCTGCAGGTAAAAATGCTTGTCGGCTGGTTTACGGGACAACTTGCTCTTCGCGTAACTTTTGATTGAACGGTTGGATTGTCAAGCTGTAAAGTGTGCTGGAAACCTGATAGTTCCAGCTTTGAGGTCTCCAAATTTGAGCTGGATCAGACGGTGAGAATGTCTTCATTTGAGGGTGAACTTCTGACGGTTTGACTCTGAGTTAAAATCTGGTTTTCTATCCATTTTGTTAAGTTTTTCCCTAGATTTAGTGAAAAGAGTCTTGGAACTACAAATACTAGAAAAACATAATAAAAACATTTGAAAGCAATAAAAACATAGGAAAAGTATTCAAAACGATCCATAAAAGTGGTCAAAATACGGTGTTATCACTCACCACAAAATCATTCTTAATAATCCGCCATGCTTTTTATAGAACTCCACCGTGTATCCATCTGGATCAGGAAATTTCCCTCCTGTCATAGCAAATAACACATCGTGAATCTCCTTCTCTGAGACTTCACGAACCAAAAAATCATGATCCATGGCGGAGCATTTAATTCCCAACATATCAGCCAAAACATCCTCCTCCATAGTCACTAACTCTGTTGGTTCTGTATTTAAAAAATCCTCAAAGAACTTTGCAGCTTCGACCTTTATTTCCTCATGAGCTGTGACCATATCACCATTGGAATTCCTGATTTCTCTGATACGATTCTTTGCTTCTCTAGCTTTAACTGCATGGTGAAAGACTTTAGTACATCGATCTCCCACATTCAACCAATGGAGTTTCGACTTTTGTTTCAGATAGCCCTCCTCCAATTTCGAAACATGTTCCCATCTTTCCAAGGCATTCGATTCTTCTCTTTGGTTATCAGGCGTAAGTGCTAACAATGTCATCTCCTGCTTCTGACATAAGTCTTTATATCTCTCCTTTACTTTGGCCGTTAGAATTTGCAAACTATCCCTCGAAATCTGTTTTATAACTCCTTTGAGCTCCTTAAGCTTTTTTTGAAAAGTGAAACAGAGCCAATGTTGACAAAAACAGAGGCTAAGTGCATCGCCAAAAATCATCTACTGCAGGTAATAAACTTGGAATAGAAGTAACCATGTTTGTGAATTTAAACGGCTTAAAGTTTCAGAACTATTTCCGCCGGCATGATCTGAATCCTGCATCAAAGGTGGTCCCATCAACCACCTGCTTCAAAGACGTTGTGAGACAGTGGGGACGAAGCCAACCAAACATCGTCGATTAGTACTCGATCCTTTTTTTTTTTTGCAAATTAACCCATCAGACTCTTGTTTCCCCAAGTAAACAGAGGACCGTGATAACCCATGTCCGAAAGACAGCAGACTCTAAGCAAATCTTGAAAAGCAGACATTCCACTATCTGAACCAGAGTATGTCGAGTCATTTGAGGGCTTCTCCCTTGAAATATCTCGTTGAAATCACCCATGATCATCCAACAAAGTTTGCCAAAAATAGGTGAATGCGAGTGAGATCTCAAGTCATCCCACAAAACTTTCATATCCTCTTCAAAATTTGATGCGTATACACGAGAACAGAGGAATTCCTCCGCATCAGCCTGAAGCTGCACCAAAACCATGATCACCTGATCACTCTTAAAAACTGGAGTTACCCGTACATTATCTTTCCAAACCAGCCATATTCGTCCAAGTCGATGATGTTTATAGTTGTTGATAAATGACCAACTACGAACCGAGGACAGAATTCTCATCGCCTGTCCTTCTTTAACTCTTGTCTCTAATAATGCACCAAACTGAAAATCATACTTCTGACACCAATCTTTTATAACAGTATGTTTATTTTCTTGGTTAAGACCTCATATATTCCAAAAGAAACTTGTCATCTATGAGTAGAGGTTGTTCTCTGGTTCCTCTTGCTCCTAGAGTTCTTCGTAGAAGGTGCTCTGATAGAAGAAGGTACTTTATTCTTTGAATTCTCCCCCCCCCCCTTCCCTTTGGAGGCTCTAGGTAGGGGTACTTGTGTTCCAGTGGCCTCTGAATCTTCCTCCGTACCCAAATTTTCATGATTCTCCTCTACTTTCTTATCCTCCTCTGCATCTTCCTCTCCACATTGATCGACCTTGTCACTTGCTTCCTCCAATTCTTCATTTATTTCCGTTGTCCCCTCTCCCTCATCTGACAGTAAATGGAAAGGTGACTTTGTGGCAATCATAAAATCCTCATCATCTTGACGAGTCTGTCTTCCGAATCTTATTCGGAGATACTGTTTCCCACTATGCATTTTCCCATTTGCCTCCTCTTTTTCCATCATCATTTTTCCAGAACTCTGTCTCGATGTATTCAGAGAACTCACCACTGGAGACTGCTGCTTTGAGCCATAAGTAGGCGCTATTGAATTGGTCTCAGCTGACACTGGTAATTAATTGCTGCCCCAAACTGGACTGCTGCTTCAGCCCGTCATTTTCCTCCTTTGCACTCTTGACTACCTTTCTGTTCACAGGGAAGTTTGTCACAGAGCTCGATGAGGGAACTCTTTTCAAAATCTTTTTGGAACCAGGCTCTGCAAGGCATTCCTTGTTCCCAGGACCCCAGATATTGCACAACATACATCGAGGTGGGAGCCAAGGGAACTCATAGGTGACGCATGCCTATTTCCCATTCTCTAGCTTAAAACTAAATGAGTCTGGGATCTTTTTCAACAAATCCACCTCAAAAAACGCCTTTGCTTCTTCAAACGTTTTAGCCTACAGTGTATCCGGATGGAGCTTTTTTGGAACTCCAAAGGGACTGGTAAGGAAACTTAATCCAGCCCAGGAATACAAGGAGCGTGGAACATTTTTCAGAGTAACCCACATTGGGATCATCTTTACTTCCGGCTGAGCTTCCCCTGAAATCGGACTCCATTTAGATACTATCATTGCAACGCCCTTGATATTCCACATTTTTCTCCTCAGAACCCTTGCCCTGATGCTCTCATCATTGATATGGAATCTCACGGTCGTATCGTTAACCACAAAAACCTCCATATTCACCAACTTGTTTCTTAATGTCCAGATTTTATTCACTGTCATGTGATTATATCCAACATGAGGAGTTTTGGCCATGAATTTGCTCACAATACAGTCCGCACAAAGAGAAGGATCATCAAAAACAGAGTCAGGAACTGTTATCATATCAATTATATCGACAACTTCCACCGCTATGTCAAACTTCTTCAGACCTGGAGAAGCCTTCACCACTGAACTCCATGATTTGGTTGTGCTCTCCACCATCAGAGCCTTGACTTTTTCCGTAACCTCTGTCTGAGAGATCAAAACCTCTTCCTCAGTCTTTGAGTTTTCCGCATCGAAAACCTTCTCCAAAACCCTAGTCTCCTTCACACTTCTTTCTGCTTCGAGCTCGCCCTTCTGGAGAAAGGCGTCAGGTTAGCCGGAATCTTTGCCGCTTCCTGAGACGGGGGACCGCCTGTCTCTGCGCCGCCATGCCTCCACCGCCCTGAGTTGGGCAGCAAGTAGTAAAACCCTAGGATCTCTTTGGAAATCGCCTTCCTTAAATTTCGGAGCTAATTTTGGGGTATTTCTCTCTAATCAATTCACTCTCTCAAACTATAGTATTTCATTCTGTATAAGATGTATTGAAATATGTTCTTCAACACTCCTATCAAATAAAGCTCAGCATTTGCGTATATTCTCAAATCTCTCATTAGTATTCAGAAAATTGACATGTAACATATTCATCAGCTAGCAAATCATCGTAAAAGACATGCACTAAATCTTAATATATGGTCAAGAAAATCATGCACAAACAGATACAACTGGGAGAAATAGAATACAATTACCATTCATAACTGAATTGTTAAAGCATAACACATTTATTTCATCGTCTACTTGTGAGATAACTGTTTCCCCCTACAATCTTAATCTCCTCCAATGGAATTTCAAAGACATCTAGCTATTATTAGTTACTTAAAACATGTGATCTATAACTAGCCAAGAAAAACAAGATAAATAAGATAATAGTTTACTGATTAATAAGATAACTAGCTATCTATAACTAGCCAAGAAAAACAAGATAAATAGTTTACTGATACTCCAGGTAATGTTCTAAGCATCCTTAATAACTCCAGTTGTTACATTCATAACATATGTAGGCCATAATGTACTTATCAAAGTGAACTGCATACGGGCTTCTGTCTTCACCAACCAAAGTTCAAGAAATTAACATATAATCGGCCAGCTAATTAACATATTTCTACTTAGTCTATCATGTCATGTATGATACTTATATACAACCTGCCCAATAATTCGTCTCTTGTTGCCAGTTTTGCTAAAAATTGGGAAATGCTTAGAGAAAAGAACTTGTATATTTCTCTCATAATCATACTGGTGGCAGTGAACTTTATCCTTGGTTTGTCCCAATGAGTTTTTCAGGAAAGGTTTTAATCAGGCAATGGGCTCACATCTCTGCTTTAGTCCAACTCAGCTGAAGACAAAGAGAAAACTCGACCATAAATTTCATCAAGGGGCAAAATGTGTGAAGTTCAAGAGTTATTCAACTCTGTCTTTACTATAGTCTAAGATTTTATTTTCATCTGTCAAGTTTTTACCACATTCAAGTCTATTTAAAGTTGTAAATTCGATGAGACAAATACAAATTTTCTTTTATCAATCAGATATTCTCTTCTAAGTAAAAGTACTCTTTTGTACTTGTGAACTTTTTGATTACTTAGTGCATCATATCCAAGAGTCACCCGGTTTATCAAGTGTTCTTCATCACACTTACATGACCATTCACTGACCATTCTAAGAAGCATACTTAGTGAAATCACCATGCACAATCATTTGGTTATTTTTTGGAAACCTGTAAATTATGAATAAAAGAACAAACCCATAAATATTCAAAAGATATATTAAAAATTTATGTAGAGAACTTCGTTTTCTTTGAACTCTTCCACCAGTAACATATGAGGATCAAAAAAATATTTGAGTGAAATTGAAAGCATTTGATATGCTCATATCCTCTAGGAAAAAAAACAAATGGTTACATGTTTGGTATCTAGCAGCTTAGCTCCCAATTTAGAGCTTAAAACACTTTTCAGAAGTTCAATATTCCCAACACTGACGATTTTCCCAAAATATTATCTCAAGTAGTCAGAAAATGATGATAAAATAATTTTAATTCGCATAATATCTACTTTTTTATTAATGAAAATGCTAAAAACTTTACCATGTCAAGACATTTTGGTTTAATATATCTTCTACTATTAAACGAAAATCCGTTAAATATTCTTCGGTTTGAAAAACGAGTCAATTCTTTGGTTTGAAGAGTCAGCTCTTTGGTTTGAAGAAAAATAAAATTTGTGAGGCAGTAGATTTGTTCTAAAGTCTCCCAAATAATTATTGAGTGTGAATACATGAAATGAAATAAATAATCCTTTTTCGTAAATTTTTATGTTCTCGATCAATTCTGCTTCAACAAAAGTCTGCATTCTTGTTTCGTGTGTCGCGATAAAGATTTAAATATAAATTTCAAAGGGAAAAGGTTTAATGAAGATAATATTGAAAAATAAGAAACGGAATGATATAAACCATTAATTAGACAATTATAATAATACAGACCATTAAACATACAATTATAATAATACAATCATGTTTGTCAACCAAAACAAATTCCATTAAATTCCCATATTTAGTACTGTATATAGGGCTTGATTGATAAGGGTGTGGCTTTAGATTTTTTGCTAGAAATTATGTTGTAAGTTTTTTGTCTGTGGTTGTAGATTTTTTTGCTATAAAATTTTGGCTACATGTATAAAATTTACTTCATAAATATGCTTTAGATATTTTGCTTTCTAAAGCTAAAAAAAAGAAAAAGAAAAAGAAAAAAAAAGCTTATTTTGGTTCATACCAAAAATTAACCGTTTAATAGAGTTTATACCAAAAAAAATTTAGAAATTAAGTGGTCTGTGCCACATCAGCAAAACTTTACGCTATTACTCCTACACAAGTTGATGTCACTACAACTTGTAACTGCCAAAAAAAAGGAATTAACTGACAGCAGCATTTAAATGCTCGTAAGTTGGGGTTAGAGATAACTTTGATAACTATCTTCTGGATAATAACACCTGACATTTGCCATAAGATATGGTGTATCCAAGTATTATGTGGTAGATGACGACATAACGGTCCATGTATTATTGTTATCGTTTGCTAACTTTAATGTAAATATATCCGATAACTATATATGAATGTTATCGTTTGTCCGAGTTATGCTAACATTAATATGTATACAAGTTAACATGTTAAAAATGCTTATTGTTACATGTTAACAATGATATATGTTAATATCTCTACTTGTTAACAATGATATATGTTAACATCTATACTTATTAACAATAATATCTAAATATTGAAACATGTTAACATAGTATGTTACTATAGTCCAATAAAATATATGATACTTGTTAACGTGTTAACAAAAATATCAGATATTTATTAAGATGTTAATAATAATACATAGTATTTGCTGATGTGTTATCCGATATTTGGTAGCGTGGTAATAATAATAACAAGTAGTGTCCAAATATTATAAGTACAATATTATTGTTAATATTTTAACATACTAGTTAACACATTATAAGTATTACATAATGTTAACAAATTAACAAGTAGAGATGCTAACACATATCATTGTTAACATGTAATAATAAAGAGAATGGTGAAGAATGCAACTTCCACAAAAAAAAATGCACTTAAGAGAAAAATTGACTCTTTCTCTTTCTATATTCTATCATTCTCTAAAAGTATTATTGAAAACCGCGAAGAGTTACGTACGAGAGAGAGAAAAATATCAATTAACACATTTTAATATTTACTGGTCCCATGCGAAGAGAAAGGGATGTTGCATGGATAATAGACATAGGAGTTGTTTGGGGATTTTTCATTGAACAGTGGCGTGTGAATAGTCTCCGATTTGTGTCAGTTAATTTTATTATTATTATTTGGTATCTGCTCATAATACTTATTACCAAGAAAAATCTGTAACTTTAAAAAACAAATATGTAAAGCATGATTAGTACTGTAGATATGTTTTTGGCTGTAGAGAAACTCTACTGGCACCACCAATCATCTCCATAATCATATTCTATATAGCTAAAATATGTGGTTTTATTTTTGTGTTTTACTGGTTAGATCTAGTTAACATATAATCAAACAAAGAGCAAAGAATTTAGTGATAACTTAGAAGGCTAGGAGAGATACAACTAAATGAGTATTAACTAGAATCTCATTATTTTTAATGAGCTAGAGTTGTATACATAATTAGGATTACACAATTTCAAACAGTAACTTGACAATAATCAGTTCTTACTCTTTCCAGATCTCACACACATGACCTGTTATGTCACTCAATGGATGCACTCAAATACTAAGAGACTATTTTATATCTATGTTAAGAAAATTCGTATGCTATATACATACAGTATTTGTTTTAAGATAAAACGAATGAATTAAAAGAAAATGTGAATCTGGAAAGATTCAAAAGAAAAATTTCTTACAAATATAAAAAGAATGGATAAATAGAACTAAGTTCTTATAAGTAGTGCATGTTCTCCTAACTGTCATCTATACAAACTCAATTTATATTTTATATATGTATAAACTAAGATTTAATCCGTGCTTTTTTAAGCAAAACTCTTAAATGGAAAATATATACTTTCTAATTTTTTTACATAATTTTTAAAGACACTTATATCTTTTTTAATTATATTTTGTTATTTGTAATAGTATTTTATGTAATAATTTACACATTTAAGTTCATTTTTAAAAATGTCTACTTAAATAATAGTATAAAGATATATATAAATATATATATATATATATCAAGATCAAAATTCTACAATTTTACCAAATATTACATTATTACATTAATCTCTTTTTAACAAATTTGTACGAAATATATCATTTCTTTTAGTTTACATTAGCAGGTACGTACTCAATTTATAAATCTTAATATAAAAAAGGTAATGTAAATAATTAATTGTTTTAATAATCTATAGTTCGTGTTAATAAAAGAGTTTGGCAAAGTTAGTAACTACACAACACATATAAATAATACTCGTGATAATAATATTAAATACGTCAATACAAAATATTAATCTCATCATCAAATAAGATACAGTAAAACCTCTATAAATTAATAATATCGAAATTATGATATTTTATTAATTTATCGTGATATTAATTTATCTATAAATTAATAATTATTAATTTATAGAGAAATGTTTTTCGCCCATCTTTTTCTTAAAATTTCTTTTAAATGATGTTATATTTAAGAACCTAAATTCATATGCTTATAAAATGGCATGCCCAAACTTAAAATTATGATTAATAATCATAGCAATCGCAATGAAATAGTTATTTCTATTTATTAATTGTGGACTGAATTATCTATGTAAAAGTATAAATGTTTATGTACAAAATTTAGAAGAAAATTATGGCTATTATCCTTAATATTGGTGCTGAAATTGAAGACAATACTATAATATATTTTGAAACAGTTATATGTAAGAAAATCAATTATCACATTTAAATTTTTTTTACAAATTTTGAATGGAGTTAAAAAAATAACATTAAAAGTTATTAATGTAAATAATTAAAGATATGATTTTTAATAAAATTTCAAATATAAATAAAAAAAACAACACATTAATCATATTTTAGTATATTATATCTTACCTATATATATACATAAATTTTTATAATTATTAATTTATGTTTATGTCGGGACCATATATTTATATAGGAGTTTCAAAAAAATTATTATCTTATTTTCTTAACGAATTTGATGCATTTTTACACTGATCCGATTCGGGACCAAAGAAATATATTAATTTATAGTGATTATTAATTTATCGAGTTTTAATTTATAGAGGTTCTACTGTATTAGTGAATTTTCTTTTAGAGGTTCTACCGTTTTCTCTCTCTGTGAAAGACGATTATCAGACACAGAAATTTTCCAGGCGTTTCTTCGTTTTCTCCGGCTGGCCAGCGTCGGCTCTGACGCCGGCTGTATTCGTTTGGTTTATAGATATTTTAATCCATTAAATTTCTATCAGATTTGGTGACATCCATTGATTGGTAGAGAAATCCCGATTGGGTTGATTTCCCTTATTCCTTTTGTGATCACCAGTCAAGTCTCTGATACGATTAATCTCTCTTTTGTGAATTCCTGGGCTATTAATTTGTTGATTTTTTGGTGGTTTCAACATCCCCTTCTAATGGTGATTGTAAATGAATACACATCACCGAATCGATGCATGGGTCTGTGTGCCTAGGTTTGCATTCGTACATGGGTGGTTAAATTGCAATATCAAAAAGGGATCAACACACTTTGCTCAATGCAATTCGCTTATAACAATTTTTTGGTAAGTAGAAGCTTTTTCTTCTTTTTCTTATTCTAGTGATGGTTCAATGGAATCTTAAAGTCTCTCTTAGTAGGGTTTTTGCTTCCGGTGAGTTCTTAATCTGTCGGTGTAAAGTCCGGTTATCAACCGGTGATTGTCCTCTTACTTCACTGTATAGAGGTGTCACTTGGATTTTTGATCCCGGAATCACTAAAAAAATCAATTTCTTAGAAGAAGAAATACGGTTTTCATTATATCGAATTGGGAGAACAATAAAGTCGAAATATTGTAAGAAGACTTTGATACGGAAGCATTGGTATCAGAATGTCGAAGTTCCGGAACTATTATTGGAAGCATCGGGTTTTGTCATGCAGTGTGTAATTCAAAGGTTTAGCCAAGAGATGCTACCGACACACTCGCATCAGATTAAGATCAAATACGGAGAAAGAAATAACGGATTTCATGATTCGTTAGCGAGTAAGACTAATCTACAGAAAGCATCGTCAAAATCACTTCTTTTGTTGTATCTTTTTCACTATATGGCGCATATATCTGTTTATGTAATAATTTGTATTCCAAAAGTTTTGTATGACTTTGTAATTCTAATTTGAAATCAATGAAATTGTTTGCCGAAAAAAAAAGAAAAAGAAATATTGGCTGCTTCGTAGCCCACTGTATCAATCTACGCTTCAGATTCCCTTTAAATAAACTAAACCCTCCGATCAAAATCTCACGTCCCAAAATCCAAACCCCTAGAAAATTGCAAACAAACAACAAAAAACCGTAAAGCATACAGAAAGATGGAGAACAATAACCATCAGCCACCGCCACAGCCGTCACAGCCGCCAATGTACTCGCAACCACCGCATACGGCGGCGTTTAACCCCGTTTTGCAGCAACAGAACCAGGCGCTAAAGAATTTCTGGCTTCAGCAGATGGAATCCGTCGAGGATTTCAAAATCCATCAGCTTCCTTTGGCTCGTATCAAAAAAATCATGAAATCGGATAGCGACGTGCGTATGATCTCCGCCGAGGCACCGATCGTATTCGCCAAAGCCTGCGAGATGTTCATCGTCGATCTAACGATGCGCTCGTGGCTTCATGCCGAGGAGAACAAACGCCGTACGCTCCAGAAACCCGATATATCCGCCGCCGTGGCTCGCAATTTCGCCTACGATTTCCTTATCGACGTTGTCCCCAGAGACGAATCTCTCGCCGCCGTTGATCCTGATTTCGTCGCCGTGCCTCATCCCGACGGTGGTGGAGTTCCGTATTATTATCCGCCGGTGATTGATGGGAGTGGAATGTACGCGCCGTATCCGGGGCAGTCGTGGCCGGTCTCTTGGCCGGCGGTGAGTGGTGACGGTGAGGAAGAGACTGTTCAATGTGGAGAAAACAGCGGCGGAAAATGAAAGTGTTTCGGTTTGGGTTTTTAGGGTTTTGTAACCGCTTTTGTTGGGGGATTTGATCTATTTGAGAAGTTGTTTTTGCTGAATGTGAATCCGAAAAAATCGAAAACAATGGTTTTTATTCAAATCATGTGTTCTTTATATTCTATGCTTTATGTTAGATTCACAGCAATTCATATAATACATACGATATAAGGCATAAATGTCGTCAAAAACTTAAGGAGATTAAGAGGAATTTGTTTCCATTTTCATCAAAATTGAACTGGAAGTTTAATTAGGATCTTATGAGTTTCAAGAACACCATTCAGATTGCAAACGTCAAAACAGTTTAGAGAATGATCGAAAGATGAGAATCACAACAACATGTGATACATAGAAAACGACAAAAGTTTGATTAGGGTTTTTCAATATTAGAGCATGTTCAATGCTAGATCTTCAAATGGAATGCTTAAACAATATTTAATAATAAATCTAAAATTAAAAGAAAGAAAAACTATTTTGGTTCAGGAAAGAGAAAAAATGTTTTGGTCGTGAGAAGAGAGAAAATGTTTTGATTTCACACATATGATCTTCTAATTATTTGACACTTGTCCACAAGCATCGCATCTTAAAACGCTAGAACAAGCGTCGATTCTCACTTCAATTAATTATTTACATTTATTTTTTTTTTTAAAATGCCTCATAATCCATTTTAAGCGTCCCCATTGAACGTGCTCTTAGACTGTAAGGGTGGAAGAGTATACAACGTAAAACGAAAAGACCGGTTAGAGATTTAACTATCTAGCTTCCCTCCCCATAAATGCTTTTCAGCAGTTTTCGTTATGAAAACATTGCTTGAAAACCTAAGAAGTTGGTAGCAAGGAGATAAAGTGGTGTAGTTTTGAGGTGTATTATATCCTTAGAGACTATTTGATAATGCCTTTTGGGTTTGTTGAAGTCTCTCTCCACAAAAACCATTCGGGGAGTATCCTCTAGCATGTCAACATTCTTCTATTAGTTTTGTTTATGTTATATATGTTTAATCCTCTCATCTCATATTCATATACCAGATTTTACAGATACATAGTGGATACAAACACACAAAAGAAGTTTATATCAGATATGTAAAAGAGAAAGTTTTTATTATTCAAACACTTAAAAGATTACAAAGACTTTTAAACTCACTCACTTGGCTTGGTTTATGTTTCATCCAAGTCTCCCTATTTATAGTACAAAACATAAAGAATATTGTATGAGATATTTCTTGAGATTTTTGATAACCTATTCAACTTTCTTATTATTACATGATTTTTTTAAGTCATTTAGTGTTATCACAACCTAATTTATTCGACACACATATGTGTTAGAATAACAATCTCATGTAAATATGACAATAAAGAGGATCGAAAAATCTTGTTTTATTAGCAAACTCGGTAAGTATAAGAGTTTTGTTGTTGGAAAAAGAACACATATCTAAGAAATTAAAGCCATAAAAGGTTTGAGCTTGGTCTCTGGTGGAAATTGCGGATCTTTTTGAATGAAGAAAAATTTCCTATTTATACTAACTAGTATCGACCTAAATTTCAAGGATTTTCTTATTCTTCTCGATTTTGGATAAGGAAGACTTCTCTTTTCTTCAGAATCGATATAAAGATCTTTCTTTTTTATTGAACTCTTATTTATTTTTTGGGATTCTCCGCCGACTTAATTGAACTAGGCTTAACAACGTATAATGGCCGAGGTCTACCAAAAATGTTCGGAAAGAAAAATAATCGGGCGACTTAATGACCATAAATACGCAAAACCTGTGATACCCAGTTAAATGGGAAGGTTTCGTTTTTATGGAGAGCATAACTCACCTCCTTGTAGGATCCTTTAGCCTTTGGATATAATCTTTAATGTTGAAAGAGTTTTTAAGATACTTTTAAGCTCATTTACTGCTTTTGTATATTTCTGTTTTTTTAATTGTCTGGGTTTTATTCTAGTTTTTGCTAAAAGAGTTTTTAAGATACTTTTAAGCCATTTACTGTGTTTGTACTTTTTTCGTTAGGTTGTGGTAATGGAAAAACGGCCTATTCGTGCCTCAACTGGCCTCTCTGGTACGATTTACTGCCTGTACTCTTGAGCTGTGCATACACATACCTCAACTTTTAAAAATTTGAAATTTCATACCCATACCAATTTTCGTTTGGCTAATTCATGCCTTGACTAATTCCCCGTTAGTCAACCCCGTTAAGCTGTTAACGGATGCTGAGTCATCTAACACGTAGGAATCTCCGTTGGAACGAAAATAGACACTACAAGAAAAGACAGAGTTAACAACGATTTTTTACGACGAATTATTGTCGTCGCAAATTAACGACAAATTAACGACGAATTAACGACGATTTAGCACACAGTCGTCGTTAATTCGTTGCAAAGAAAATCGTTGTAAAACCGTCGCCATTTACAACGTTTTTACGACGATATTTTATTTTTAGAAAATAATAATTAAAAAAAAATCAAATCGTCGTAAAATCGTTGCAATTTACGATGATTTTACAACGATTTGATTTTTTTTTCTATTTTTTTTTTTTTTTAAAAATCAAATCCTCGTAAAATCGTTGCAAGTTACGACGATTTTACGACAATTTAATTTTTTCTAATCTTTTTTTTTTAAAAAAGAAATCAAATCGTCGTAAAATCGTTGCAATTTACAAGGAATTCACCAACATTTGCCTCGGTGAACGGAAGAAGAAAATATAACGGTCCTAAGGTAGCGTAATTCCTTGTTGAGTAAGTTCCGACCCGTGATGAAGGCGTAACGATCTGGGCACAGTCTCGGAGAGAGGCTCGGTGAAATAGACATGTCTGTGAAGATGCGGACTACCTGCACCTGGACAGAAAGACCCTATGAAGCTTCACTGTTCCCTGGGATTGGCGTTGGGCTTTTCCTGCGCATCTTAGGTGGAAGGCGAACAAGGCCTCCTTCCGGGGGGGGCCCGAGCCGTCAGTGAGATACCACTCTAGAATGGCTAGAAATTCTAACCTTGTGTCAAGACCTACGGGGCCAA